CACAATTACCCAAATCTATTTACGGAACCAGTCAAGGCAGAAAGAACCTGACAGCCAAATAAAGGACGCAACAATCTGACGCGTTTGAAACATTGGGCAATGAGGCCTTGCTTCCAAGATCATTTCCAACACGGTCATGTACACAGATCAAGAGCAGTGTTATGCAAAATCTCGCAAACAGAGTTTCCGGTTGCTTAGCTAGGCCGGTTTTCGGCTTGCCGTTGCCACGCGCAGCCTGAAGCACGAGACGAGCGTGCTCAAACACAGACGGAACGTGGAGCGCGTCGCATCGTCAACACCCCAGCACCGCCTCGCAAGAACACGAAGACTGCGATAACGTCTACACCACACAAGAGTTGCGTAATCTTTACTTTTACAATCGAATTGAGCCTTTTTACTCGTGGTTTTCGAAAATCTCGACATGCAGTAAAAATGTTGCCTCGTCTCATCGACTTCCATGTGGACTACGCTTAATAGAGTTCCTTTTAAGCCTCACCTACAGGGCCTCTGCCAAACTCTGAGACTGAAGCACACTCCGCCTCTAACTTGTCGCAGCGCCAGCCCCATGTATCGGAACACGTACTAACCGCCCTGGCCACGCATTGCAAATCTTTCATGCCTTAAGATGGCCCTATAGCCGTCACCTCAGGCTCCTCTCTCTTGATTCCTGCATCTCACGTTTCTTCTACTTTGTGTGCATTTTCCTTTGCATCTTTCTTTCCTACCAACCCGTACGGTCATTCACCCCTATCTTCTAATATTGCTCTGTTGGCTAGTCCAACGGTAGTCTTCACGAAACCAGAGCGCTAGTCGCCATACACTCTTGACGAGACTTTCAACAACGAATCACATATCTAATATACCAATCGCCTTTACGAAACCAACCACCTACCATATTCAAAATGTACTTCTCACGAGCAACCATCATCTCCGCCGTTTTCGGCTTTGCCGTCGCCCAAGAATCTTCCTCTATGGCCATGTCCGAATCATCTCCAATGGCTTCTGCGACCGCCCCCACACTTTCCACGTCTGTAGTAGAAAGCATCTCGACTGCTTCGCCAAGCGCAGCAGCAGGAATGCTCAAGATGCACACTGTTCAGGTCGGAGGACCCAACGGCTCTTTGGCGTTCTACCCAGACAATGTCGTCGCTGCGCCAGGAGACATGATTCAATTCCAGTTCCATCCCAAGGTACCTTCGTTGAACACCAATCGTAATATCCCAAGCTAATTACCATTTTAGAACCACTCTGTTGTCCAATCCACCTTCGACAACCCCTGCGTGCCCATCACGGAGATGATGCCCAACAAGACCGACGCCTTCTTCTCTGGCTTCATGCCTACCAACGCTTCATTCGCCGCTACCAGCCAGGTCCTGACATACACCATCCGTGTTACCGATGACAAGCCCATGTGGTTCTACTGCTCTCAGGGCAAGCATTGCCAGGCTGGAATGGTCGGAGCTATCAACGCGTAAGCCATTACCCGCTTCATATGAGCAATGCACAGGATGAAAGCTAATTGCGTCGCGCAGACCTACCTCTGGTAACAAGACCATGGCAGCATTCGCCGCGCTTGCCGCTGAAGCCACAGAGAACCTCTCCCCAGGTCAGGCAGCCGGCTCTGGTGGCGCCTCTGGCAACACTCCCACCTCGCCTTCCGCAGGCAGTGGCGCTGACTCTGGTACCGAAGGGGGTGCCGCTGCTGGAGGAGCAAGTGGAACTGCTAGTGCTGGTGCTCCAGAGAATACCGCCAACGGCGCCCCTGGCCTCAATGCCCAATCATTTTTCGGTGCTGCCGCGGCTGTTGCGGCTGCCTTGGCTGTATTGTAGACAGAGTGGTGATTCTTTTTTGCGCGTGGGATTCTAGGGATAGCTGTTGGGCATACATGATACCATTCTTTCTGATAGCTGAGCTGGCTTTGGTGGAAGGGCTCAGGCCTGACTCGGAGAGTTGAAGTTTTTTTGCTTTTTGTTATGAAAGAGGGTATAGAAATTAATGTAACCTGTACACTATACATCGAGTTGCATCATCGTGCTGTTGTCTACGGATCAATTTGTGCCCATTTTCGTCGCTTGCAATGACGCGTATTGCATAGTCTGGATACGTATCTGCAATCGATCGATTAATGCTTAGCGGTACATCTGCAGTGTTGGTCGTGACAGCACCACTGGCTCCCATGGAACACTACCATGAAACAGTACCATGGTAGATATTAGGTCGCCGTGCTTGCCTTTTTTTTTTCTTTCTCTGCAACATCGTTGTTCTCATCTACCGATGCGAATTGAGCTTTTCCCTCTCCAGTTATGTATTGATTATGGAAGTACAAGTGGCCGTAACCTCCATGGAGTTGCCATATCAGGATCAAGGCGGGGCTCCTGATATCTGCGGGGTAGTGCGACGGCATGAGCTGATAACGTCACTTTCGACTACAATTGCATTGCATCCTCTAAAGTCTCTCAGAACCAAATCACGCAAAAATGAGGAAATTCGATCATCGTCAACCGGACCAAGGCGGCGTAAAAGGAAGCGCAAAGGCTAGGGTGCAGCTGCCATTAGCGCAACCAGCGGCCAAACAAACACCAAACGAATCGCCGGTATCCTTTAACATTACATCTTCCAGCGACGATCCTTACACAGTGGCGCGAGAAGCGCTCGATCGCGCTGGATTCGTCATTCTTTCCGCTTCTCTCTTCCCTTCATTCGATCTCGATGCCCTTCGCGCAGCTGCCTCGCGAATGACAGAGGCAGCGCGATCAGGGAAATGGCCATATATACGAACATTACCCAAGCAATTTCCCCCATGGCCCCAAGATCCCTCGGAAGGAATATGGGGCGTGCAGCACTTGCTTCATCCCTCGAATCCAGACCACCTGACATTTGCCAAATCCTACTTTGACAAGGAGCTGCTGAAGTACGTCGCAGCATTGATTGGATGCGGAGAAGACGACTTGACCATGGAACTCTACAACATGTTGGTCAGGCCAGACAAAGACTTTAGTCTGCGCTGGCACAGAGACGATGTCGCTGCGACGGCAACACCTGAAGAAGAGATGCAACGACTACAGAAGCCAGGTCATCACGCGCAATGGAACCTCGCGCTATACGATGATAGCAGTCTTGTGCTTGTTCCGGCATCGCACAAACGTGCGCGTACTGATACTGAGCGCAATGCGGATCCCTACGAATCCAACATGCCGGGGCAAATCACCGTGAACCTGAAGGCGGGCGAAGTGGCCTTTTATAACAACAACATTCTACACCGCGGTGTGTATGACAGCACGAAAGAGCGGATGACGCTACATGGCAGCATCGGCACTACACTTGCGGGCAGCCAGCGAGCGAGAAATGTCCTGCAGCATGGTGTGGGAGAGTGGGCGAAGGAATATGACTTTGAGGGCTTCGAACCTGAGATGGCGGAGCGGGCGAAGAAGATGCGGGAGAGGCTGGTGGAGATGGGGAAGAAGAGCGGGGATGTTGGGTTCTTCTCAAAGGACGAATGAGCCCGTAAACAATGTGTTTAAGACAGCTGGAGCCGTGCTAGATTCGAGTATATACGCGAAGGTGGCGCTGGCAATGCCTCTTCTTACCCTTGGTAGCACGCGCAGTTCTGCGGACACTGACAGGCGACCAGGCTGCCTGCCAGCCTCACCAGACACTTGTTTGAATCCCATCATTGATCCCATTCTGTTCTCTTTCATCAAACCCGGCCATGTCGCCTGTTCCATGGAAACAAGAAATCAACTTTGCAAGCGCCCGGCTGCTCTACCCGTGCATCACCGTTCTCTTCAAAGAGTTTAGTAACGCCACAGCAGTCCTTTACCCCGTCACCATACTTTGCAAGAATAGGGCTGCCGCCGATTCCTCCGTCGTTCTCGATGGCTACACATGAGTGTTTTCAAAAGATCACGACGGCGAGCTGGCAGAATTGTACCTTGGCAATTCATCTGGTCAGACACACCCTTTGTCAACTGCTTCTAGATAGCGAGTACGTTGCAATTCAAAGTTGCAAGTGTGACTTGTGGCGTACGGATATGAGTATGCAGCTTACGCCATGGTAGAATCGCCTCCCCGCAGCCCCCAGTGTACCAAAGCCGCTCCAGCACAACCGCATTGTCTCTTTCACCAGCGCCCAAGCGCATCTTCGCCATGTTCTACAAGGCTGCGCTCGGTCACGCCGACGGTTCTGTTTGCCGTGCTTCTGGACCCGCTACAATCACTATTCCTAGCGACCCGGGCTCGTCCGGCGATGAGGCGGAGGGATATGGGCGGCGTGGAAACGATGCTGCTATAGGCCTGGAGACTGTGCGCTGAAGTTGAGTCTGGCTTTCTACGAGGAATAGAAGCTGCCCTTGGTATCTTCGAGTCATGTAAACCAGACTAAGAAACAAACTGGTGTTCTGCAAAAGGCCGAGAGCTTAGCGGCGACAGTATTGAGGAGCAGTGTTGTGGGCAGTACGTGATCATCTAATCAGCGCGCAATTGTCTGATTACTAGAATGGCTCCGGAAACTCAGAATCGGGGGCTCCTCCGACTGACGGGTACGCGGTAAGCTTCCATTTTCGCTTCTTCCTTTGCAGGCTCTCTCTAGTGCAAATTGATCCGCTCGACGGATACGTTGTGCTTTCGTGTGGACCTCGCGGGCGCAGATCAACGCAGCGGACACAGCCATCAGATTCTCGTTGCAAATGCCGACTGCAAACAAGTGCCTCGGGCAAATCCAAACGCTTCCCCGCGTGAACACGCATTCCACACGTCCAGAGCAAACGCGGGACGGGCCTGTAGTAACCAGATTGCAGACGAGGGGTAAGATCCAGGGGTGCAAATCGGCACTGTTCCAGACCCACCGCCCAAGCAGATCCTTCACACCCCCTGACCAACTCCACTTCAACCCTCCAACCATCCATTCCACGCTTTTCCTTAACATTTCGCCGTCGTTTTGAGACGACCAAAAGCCCTCTCTCCCATCAATCAGTCAGACTATTCCAGCGGTTCAATCTTCAGCATCGGTGGTTTAGTGGTAAAATTAGCCGTTGCCATCCATCTTCCTCGTCACGAGGACAGAGAGATTCGACGATCGGCTAGCCCCGGGTTCGATTCCCGGCCGATGCATTGCTTTTGCCAGTGGAGGCGTCGTGGAGAGGGGTGGGGGTGGTGTTGAGGTAGCGGACATAGTTTTTTGGCGATGTTGGTCGGTGTCACGTGACACTAATGGGCATCCGCCCACGAAGAACACGGCACTGTTCTACGCCGAATGCGTTTAGTAGCGGGGTACAACGTGCGCCCTCGTTAGCAGCAGGTGGATTTCGATCTGGTCGTGGCGGCGTTTGTGCGATGTGGGGGGGCTGCTCTCGCGCGCTGCCTATTCTTCACGAACACGCTCTGTTCACGACGGGTATACAGCAGCTCTAATTCGCAACAGTATTCTATCCTTCCCAAAGAGGAGCCTTGGCGCAATGGTAGCGCGTTGGTTTTCGGCTTGAAAACATGAATACACCAAAGGTATGGTACCTGCCACTCACGGCACCCAGCAATGTCCTAACGATGAATAGGTTGTGGGTTCGATCCCCATGGGCTTCGCTTCTTTTTTGCCGTCTTGTATGCGTCGATGCTTGCTTTGGCCGGTGTACAGTGGTCAATTTTTGGCCAAAGTTGCGTGTCGGCTGTCTGTGCAATGTCTTGTGTGCCGACCCGCCAGGCTGCTTTTTGCGCCAGATAGGGGACTGTCATTACGGGTTCAGTAGCCGCGAAATGTCAGGCAAGCAATTTTTCGCGACGTGCACAGATGCAATGACGGCCAGCGAGGCTGACGTGTAGTCGCCCGTTGTCGCGGCTGGCTCCCTTGCCATCGGTGGTATAAACATAGGCTGATTACTGATTACCACAAGAATGATGAAGCCGGCCCCCATCGCCCCAAACCCAGCGACCAGGTAAGCCCTTTGGCGTTGCGGCAATGCTCGACATGACAAGAAACCTGCTGTAAAGAGTCCTGGAGAGCCTCGCGTCCTGCTGCGTCGGGGAAATTGTGATACCCGTTCTATGTAGATCGCTGTACCCCATAACCCAAAATCTGAAACGATCGTACCCAGAGTGTGGAGATGGCAATCGCTGCCGCTGACCGCTTGATTCAAGCTGGCTAATCAAAGATAACAAGCAATGACGTAGATTTTGTATAATGTCAAAATGACGGATCGCAAGAGCAAGTGCAACACTCGGTGTAGGTAAGCATGCTCGCTACATGCGCATGGCTCCAGGCACGCTCGGCCCGAAGCTACGCACGAGAGCCGAACCGGTGAGATTGTGCAGGCGTCCCTTGTAGTCGCAAAGGCAAGATGTGTCTGCAAGGTCTGGCCAGAGGTGAGGACAGGCACAACGCACCGACCCAGACGGTCTAGAATCATGTAAAAGCTCAACGTCTTACCTACAAAATCGGCGCCGAGATGCCATCACATACGACATTCCGGTTGCATGGTGATAGCAGACAAGATCACGCCACACGGGAGCGTCAACATAACCTTCAGCCAAATCATCGCAGTACCATGGGCCTGGGGAACGCATCCGAACTAGGTCAGCTCAGTGACGAAATGCTGACAGCTGATGGGCGATTAGCCTCGCATTTTCCAAGTTTCCTTGCTTGTGGGGAGTGGTGAAACGACTCGGTGTAGGGTTTGGATTGCGCGTCCTCGAGGTCAGAGACGTTGGGCGCGCACACCGAGTTGCTACCTGCAGGACGATGGGGCGCTGAGTCGCATGAGCCTTCAAGATCCCGCAGATGGCGGCTGGTCGGGAATCGTCGATCGGCAAGAGGACCAAGATACTCGTCCTCTGCCGGTAGTATGAATTCCCATTGGCCGGGAATGATGAGAACAGGCAGCGTGTGCTAGTGGGAAGCTCTAGCTGTGTGACGTCGCCCAAAGCCGCACAAGCTTCATGGTGCGGGCCTGGTCGGTCTAGACGGCGATTGGACTGCTGTGGGGTACCAGACGGGTAGACTGACCAAAATAAGTGATTGGTGGGCGAATAAGAGTTTCCCCCCGAAAAGTGGTTGAGAATGCCCTAGGTTGTTGAACGCGTGGAGGCAAAGCGCATGATGCGAGACTATGCGAGAAACATGTGTTATGTCGGCACGGCAACTAAGTTTATTCGACGCGCCTATCGGAAGATTTGGTGTGCTTGTGAATGAGCTTCTCTTATTTACCATGTCCTAGGGAGGCAGGTAGTGAAGCAACTGACAGCTTTCCAAAGCAACCGGCATTACTCGGGTGTATAGCATCAGTAGTGTGTTTGCGCCCGTGTAGCATGATTCGCGACCGATGGATGAGCGAGATGCGAAAAAAAAAGGCAGGCACCGCAGACGCGTCTTTCAGAACAGACAGGAAGTATTATATGCTGTTTCCTGCTGCGACAGCCTCTGGGCAAGACTTGGGATGACTCGGCGGCATTTGGTGTTGAAATCCGAAGGGCTGGTTCGTCGTAGCGATTACGTCCACCGTTCCGCCAGCTTGGATAGCTAGTTATGCGAGAAGTCAATTGCAGCCTGCTGTGCTAGTGGAAAGCGATAGCGCAAGAGAATCGGCTTCCGCGACTGTTTTTTTTTTTTTTTTTGCTGCCGGGACACGCGAAGAGAAATATATAGAGCAAATGTGGTTGCGACGAGTATGCATGGCCGTGACAGTCAATAGACCCAAAGGAGCAAGAGATTTCCATGTCTTCTCCACGCAAGGCGGTGATTGGCTGACACGCCCAAAATAGAAGTCGTGCCTTCCTGATGATCGCGTCATCCCAGCTTGATAGGTGGGGCCTCAAAGACAATGGTGGAACAGCGACAGCAAACCGCCGTCGGGTGTCGTGAGATACGAGACAGGGCACAGTAGAAGATTTCTGTGTGCTCACCCGCGCAACAGGCCGTCGGTTTCGCACTGATTGCGCAATTACGGGAAATCATGGCTCGCAGCGCAAATGCACATCAAACAGCTCTCATCTCGCAGTCGCCCAGCATCCTCGTTGCTTTCCCCACGCCTTGGCGAACACGGCAGTCCCGCCCAGTCCTGCGAATTTCATCGCGGGCAGCGAACCTGCAGCAATGTTGGCGGGCGGACCGATGTTGTGCCGCGGACCCTGTGAAGATGCTGGTGGTATGCATGCGGGCTGCCTAGCCTGTCGTGGGCCATGATGAAGTCCATCTCGTCCAGCGGCAGGAGGCACGGGAGACAGGCGTGCAGAGAGAGCGGGGTACATGTGTGTCGGTGAGGGATCAATATGGCGACCATGGCCATTCCAGCCTTCTTATCACAGCACGTCAGCTACTGCATCCCTGCCGGCCTGGTCAAGCTTCTGCAGCCTATCCCACCGCCATTCACCAACTGCTGCAAACGGCTCAGCCGCAGGTGCGTCGTGTGGGTCGCGCCGGGCGCGCTTTGCGGATTGGCTATGCCGCTCCCCTCCAAAAAGCGAATTCGTAAGTGTTTACCAGATCGCGTCGTATTTACTTGGGCTAAACGCGTCCAACCACACACACCAATTCGCGGATAGGCGACGGCACTGCAAAGCCCTACCCACATGGAATCCGTGACGTGACGGCAGAGATTGCAGCGTCCAACTTCTGCCTGTGAGCCGTGGACCCTGGAATGCGGGCCACCAGGCGTTTGCGGCGCCATGGAATCCTCTGGTCGCTCGCACTGCTAGCATGAACTTCTGCGCTGTCCCGTCGCCATGCAGCGAGAAGGTTCCGAAGAGACAGGGTGCAAATGTCGGAGCATCAGCAAGTGGTTAGAGGTGGAAACATGGCAGCCCGCCATATTGTTTTCTTAGATCGGCTGCGCCCGAGCACTTTACGCCCGGGGGGGTTGGAGGGCAGGGACTAGGGTCAGGAAGTGAAGCTGGCGAGGATGCCGGAAACCCAAAGCTGCTTTTTCTTAACGTCTCGGAGGCGGATCAAGCACAACGGGCCATCGGCTCGATTGCAGGATAAATGCTGTGCACGCGAACAGTGGATAGGCGACAAAAAGCGACGTAAGCTGCCCATAGTCGCAGCGCACGCAAAAGCAACACGAGCAGCATGGCAGACGGCATTAAATACATGACATGGACTGAGAACTGAGAGGAGCGGAAGAGCGTGCACAGTGACCTGACCCCGTGACCGCGGCACCGTGGAGACGAGCGACGAGGGAAGGCAACGTGCCCCGTTGTCTTTCTGGCGTGAGTAACTAATTGAGTCTCCTAGCAGCGTGCCCGTGCGAGCTCCCAGACTAGTGCGGCCCCTTTGCCTGACAACCTCAACTCTTCACCGCGACCGCCAACCTTACTCTCCCTCTATTATTTCCTTTTCTGCTTGCTTCTTGAATCGCTCGTCGCTTCTAGCAGCAGAGGACCGACACACGTATACCGACCAATGCAGGCTTGAGGGACTGCTCGGGAGGCTTGGTACACGCTGCCATCTCCGTCGATTCACGACAGCCTTCCCAGCGCTCGACGACGTTACATTCTATTCATTGTTTTAATAGCTTCCATTGTTTTCCTTTCGTAGCAGGTACAGACCCCCCCTTATCGCCCTCGCCTAGCACCAGCCACCGCGAGCAAGCTGCCTCCCCAATGTCGCATCTCAAACTCGACAACCTCCCTGCTGCTCGCCCGGCTTCCGTCCGCGAACCTGGTCCTCTCCTCCCACGTCGCTCTGCACCCTGGCACCCGTACAAGCCCCTTGCTAACACTGTGATGCTTCACAGATCTTCACTTGTCCATCTGAGTCGCCGTTGCTGCTGCTGCTGCTGCCGACGACGAGCCCCTAGCCGATCCCGATCGAGCTCCTCATTGCCGTAACCCCAAGGCCTCCGATGGCTCAGGTACTCACATCAGTCATCCAGACGACAGGACCTCATACAATGCCATACTCGCCGTCAGATGCCTACAAAAACACGCCGAACCACCCCAATCAACAACAACAGCGAGCACCGCAGATGCCGCGCAACCAGCATAATGGCAACTCTGGAGGTACTGGATACAGAGGAACCGCCGCGCCGATAGCTCCGTATGCCTTCAATGCCACGCCGCAGCTGCGCCAGGAGGACAGGTCCGTCTCGGCACCGTCCCCTCAGGCCCTGCAGCAGCTTCCCAGCCACGTCAACCAGACCCGTCTGGGCCATCCCTCCCACCCCTCCTCTTCTTCCGACTCCACCGTATCCACCTCTGGCTCCTCCAATCGCTCGTCGGCTGGGCCGCCAGTCGCTACCAGAGATGACAGCGATCTCAGGAAACCCATCGACAGCATTGCGCCGTCCATCACGCTCTCTACCTCCAATCTCGATCTGTCCTTTTCTCTAGGCGGCGACTCGCCAGCGAAGCCGTCACCGGGGCGATATCGACGTGGCGCTGGAAGAACCGACTCGTCTACCAGCGTGCCCACGGGCAATACGACCCCGACGCAGCGCACGGCTGGAGGAGCGGCACAAATGGCCCCTTCACAACCTACGCAAAACGGCGGCACAGGCGCTGCTGGTTTGCCACCACCATTCAGACCTGGACACAACCGAGCGAACAGTGCCGATGATACGCAAGTTATTCGCTCAGGCGGTTTGGATCCC